GGTAATTTAAGGTATGGCAGCGTCTGAACTACACCTTTTAACAAATACACCGAGGACATTATTCACATTTTTGTTTTCCCAAAAATGTTTGGCTAAAAGGAATTGAAGAAAATATATAAAAAATGTAATTTTGCACTAAAAGAAACCTGTCCATGATTGACGTTCACACAGAACTCCTTTAAAAACAGTAGTAAATTGACTACACGGTGAGATAAATAGATGAATGTTGGCAGTATTCTGCCTCAAATTGAAAACATAAAATAAATAAAAATAGGAGAAACTAAAATTATAATTTATAAGGGTTCTGATGAAAGTCTTACACCAACTTTTTTGTTGAGTGAAAATTCTGATTGTCTTGGGATTATGTTGTTTTTCAGTTTGAATATTTTACTTATTTTATTTGGAATTTCTTCCTTAGGATGAAAGTATATTAGTTAAAAGCAATGAGCGACTGGACATAAATGCAAGCTGCTAATCTGTATGCCAAGTGCATTCCATGACAGTGAATGTACACTGGTGTGTGTGCATGTGTGTGAAGTTTTAATTAACTCTCATTGATGCCATTTGTTCTTGTCAGCTATTTCAATGGGCACCATTTAATCCTTTGGAAGTCTTAAAAATAATATTTAGATGTGGTTGAGCCCGCCGCCTACCGCCCGTCTTACCCATAATGCTTTGGCTTTAAATGACATTTAATTCCTCAAAGGTCCCTTTAGGAACATCCTGTGCATCATTTGACACCCTGTCATGTTTTTTTTCACTATTCCAATCTAAATTTTATGGCCATGTGTACATTTGTAAATCCTTCAGTTCATTTAAGATCAGTTTAATTCCCTCCTACACAGACTTCACCGCTTTTTCAAACCTGATGATTAATTTTCAACTAATCTCTTACACAAGTACATACAGTACAGAGAAACAGTTCCAGATGTGGCCGTGCCCTTGTTCCACTTCTCTGCCAACTGTGTAAAATCACTGATTCTGTTCTTCAGTTGGAACCTGTCACATGATTGGTTAAACTACTGTTTTTGTCTTTTAGGTGAGGACTGCTGGAGGAACAAGAGACTATAGCTGTCGTGCTGTGACTGAGCGCTATGCTCTGTCCTATTTTCCCACTGCACTTCTAAAATCTTCAACACTCACAGACATAGTTATCCTTGTTGTGTCCCAAAAATATAATTTAAAATAAATAACATTCAATGTCCATTGTTCATTTTTCTCCCTACCTTAAACCAGGTTGACAGGTCACTGTCAGAGTTAACTTGAATGCTATATTGCAATGGAATGTTGACCAATATCCAAACAGATCTTCCTGCACAGGGGGGAAAAAAGCATTCACAGAACAAATGTACATTAGTTGTCTTTCTTCTGTGCTGCAATGTCCAACATACACCTGATGGATGCAGCCCATAATTTCAATCATAGCCTTTTCTTCCCCCCTCACACTTGATCAGCACTGCAATCAAAGCTATAAAAATGTCCTAAAATGGTGAATTTCCTTCTCCAGTCTTACTTACTCAGCCTTGTAGCTATTGTCGCACCAACATATACCTTCGCTTTTTTGGTTTTTCAAAATTCACTTTTTTTTCATTGCAGTGACTTCTGAGATCTGCTTCAGACACAGCGTACAGCTGAGACCCAATGTCTAATTTCTTTCCCAAACACTCAATGATTCATTCATTCAATGATTAGACATTTTAAATTCACAACAGATCAGATCCATCAGGAGTGACGTTATACTTCATACAGTACAAATGTATCAGTCGGCGTTATCTCTGCAGTACGTGACTGGCTTACACATCTTCACGCATTTTCAATAAACCTTCTGACACTGTGAACTAATTATAGCCCAAAGTGAGTTTCTGCTATAAATCCAGCTCATGTTTCTTCCTGTTCTCCTTCACAGTAACAGCAGACTGCTCCTAAAATGGTTAAAGTATTTCTATAGTTTGTTTCCTTTGTTCTCATGACATATTTCCTCTGTGGGCCTAAAATGCTGTCAGGCTGTAACTTATGTAATACTGATGATGATGGATGGATTCCAGATACTCATGTGTACAAGGAGATACACAAAGCTACCAGTACATATGGATATAGTCCATCAGCAGGCAGCAGAGTTTGGCCATTGTTATTTCACCTTGTGAGTCATGACAGATTATGTTTGTTGTTGGAAACACTACACGGAGGTGGCTTTGTTTACATACTGTATGTCCATGTGGACAGGTCTGGTCAGATTCTGTGGTGAGTTAGAGAAAGAAAAATAACTTGAACTGTAAAACTGACAGGATATATTTATGATCTAAAATCCTAAAAACCTTTTGCACATTGATTTAGCTGATAATTTTATTTAAAAACGTAATGCCTTATATGATTCATCTTCGTGTACGGTCCTTTTCTCTTTGTGTAACATGATATATACTGTGAGTGCATGTGTACATTAAAGTAGGGGTGTCCGATATTAACTTTTTGCCAATCCGATATGCCGATATTGTCTAAACACTTAATTTTCTGACATTAACCGATACTGATATATGCCTGTTAATATTTATTTATTTATTTGTACAAACCATTGTATGAGTATGAGATTTATTAAATGAGCTGCAACACTGCCATCTAGTGACTCTCACTTTAATATACAGCCGTTTATCCCCAAAACTATTTTTAGAGCACACATCATTTGGTGAAAACCAGGCGTTGCGTAATCGGGTTTTCATTTTTATACCTACTAATATAGGTTGGCCGATATTATCGGACATCCCTTTACTAAAGCACTGTTGGTATTGAGTCATGTTAATGCTACAACGGACTATGAAACAATGGACACTGATTGGTGACTTAACCACAAAATTCCACAAAAACAGAACAGGGTCACAAAAGGCCCTTTTCATTGTGGGGTTTAGCAATTTTTAGGGGATAAATTTAGTTTTCTTTGACCTTTAATCACAAGTTGGAGTTTGTGAACAAAAAAAAGAGAAAGAAAGAAACACTGCTGTGTGACCTGTTGTCATCTGACTGAACCAATTCAGTCAGATGACCATTTCATCTGACTAAGAAGAACCAGCGCCTGTTTTCCTTTTTTAAACTTCCTGTCCTGAGGGCCATGGGTGAAAGTGACAATTGCTGGAGAAGACATTTAGAAAACAAACTAGTCAACGCATCAACCAAATAAATTTGGTTGCAATGCTTACAAAAGTTTAGATTTGTTTCACAGAGACCTTTTTTAAATTCCTGTTGCAACAACTTGTAATAATATTTTGAGCATTGTCTCATTGTCTGTGGATTATCTGTAGATCTAATGCAGCCTTGTCCAATGCATTTACAGGCCACACCCAACACCCGCCGCTGACCATCGATGGTGCTGCTGTGGACAGAGTGAGCAGCACTAAATTCCTGGGGGTGGACAACAGTGAGGACCTCTCCTGGACCACCAACATGGCATCACTGGCAAAGAAAGCACAGCAGCCTCTATGTTCTGCACAAACTCAAACGGACAAGTGTTTCACCACCCATCATGACCACATTCTACAGAGGAACACTGAGAGCATCCTCTCCAGGTGTATCGCTGTGTGGAGCAGAAGCTGCACTGACTACAACAGGAGAGCCCTGCAGGGCATAGTGAACACAGACAGGAAGATCATTGGTGCACCACTCCCCTCCCTGCGGAACGTATACACCACCCACCTCGCCCGCAAAGCAATCACAATTGGGAGTGATCCAAGCCACCTCGCACACAATCTGTTCAGCCTCCTGCCCTGTGGGAGGAGGTACAGGAGCCTCTGTTCCCGCACCACCAGACTCACCAACAGGATGCTGAACTCTCTCCCCTCTCCACCCACAGCTCCACCCAACAGGCTGCCAGGAAACTAGGAATCTGTGCCTCCACGCATCCTCAAGAACAGAACTCCCCAATGAACACTTGAACTCAGACCTCCCCTGAACCCCCCACTTTTCAGAAAAAAAAAAATCTGGATCTTTTGCACTATACTGCCATTTGCTCTGCTGCCAATACCTGATCACACTTGACTGCACTGTACTGTACATTTGTGTTTAGGTTTGCACTTTAATGTGTCTATGCAGGGGACAGTGTATGTCGAGTACATGTGAAGAACTTGTATGAATAAAGCTTACAGTACATATATACCACCTACTGTCAATTGATGAACTTAGCCCTGAGGCAATACTATAGTACAGTACTTACTGCTGCACTACTGACATCATCATCAAATGGTTTAAATGTTTTTGCTGCACTCAGGTTGTTTGCTGGTCGAATTATAAGAATGACTGTGAAGGCGAGGTCACAGTGGAACTTCTTCAGAGTAAAGATTACATCTGTGGCTCACAGACATCTCTAAATCTACACAGGCATGTCTTCTGGACCAACTAAATGTTACTACAACTGGTTTGTCCTGTTTTCTTTGACCACTGTGCACACTACTTGAACCTGAGTACCTTCTCACTGTGTATGTGGGTATTGTACGTGTGTGTGTGTACGTTGAAGTCCATGCATCTCAGCGTAGGCTGTAGTGCACTGGGTGCATTCCTCTAAATGGGGCAAAACTACTGTGTGGCATCTGATTCCACACCACTCCTGCAAGTCTGTGTAAACAGTGAGATGTAGATGGTTTAGCTCTGGATTAACATTTGAGCTGAAAGAACAGACAAATCCCTTCTCATCTCTGGTAATCCAGGTTTTCCTAATCCCCATTGCCGCTCCTGCAGATGAGTTTAAGGGTCTCAGTAGATTTCTGTCTGCATTCCCAGCTTTTCATTACTGCCTATAATTTGACGTTACTGTCTTTACCAGTGTCTGCCTAGGCTGTGGCAAATAAAACAACACCGTAGTGATTATACAACCAGTAAAATAAAATAAAATAAATAAAAAATAATTTTATATAAGAGCAGTTTGATATCATCAACAAAACAAGAATTATATAAAAAGAATGTAAATATGTTTATTTTAATAACTGACAATTACCTGAAGCCCTGCTGCTGCGGCCATAGCTTACGGCCGTTTCATACGACTATTATCCTTAAAATGTCTGTATTTGCATCAAAACAAAATGATATGGCTCATTTTTTCCCCTCTCTGAGCTCATGTGAATCACAAAGGCTAAAAATAAAAGGCTATAAAAAAATAACAGAAATGAAGCAGCAGCTGCCAATTACTGCCAATACAGACTTTATAAGACTTTGACATTCCCTGTTTTACTGTTTTCCCCCAGAATTTAAATATCAGCTCTTTAGGCTTTGAAGAAGAAAATGAGGCAATTTTAGAGAAACAGATGAAAAATGCTGCAAAAGGAATATTGTTCCAGCATCATTAGTAAATCACCAAACTTTGAATATTGTTAGGTTGTCTTTATTCCCCACAAACAGTGCACATAGGGATACAGTTTGTAACTTCCATTTTGTATTTCTTGCAAATTCCTTGCTTACATTTTCTTGGTAAAAAGCCACCAATCTTTATTTCCTAAAACTAGGTGTTGAAAAATTACCACAAAGTATATTAATAAATAAACGTTATTATAACAATCAAGCATATATTTATATATAAAGAGGACATTTGTTGATGAATAAATTAGAAATGTGGTAAACCAGTGCTTTTCAAAGTGAAATTGTAGATGAAAACATATATATTATTACATTATATTTAGAAAGGCCATTTGTCTACGTTTCTGCTTTTGCGTGTGCTCTTCAGTCAGCGTATGGGCGGAGCTTTTATACTCAGAGGGAAGGCCATAATGTTACACTATGAAAACCCCTGGTTTAAACACACACGTCTAAATTATCATCTAGTCAGAATGATATGAAACATAAATGTTTCCTTCCGAATGCAGTGCAAGTAGAGACTAACGCAGAAAGCTATGTATATATACAGGAAATATGTGTATCTACAGTAAACACCTTTGTTGCTCATTGGCTTTCTGATCTGAAAACTCATTTTTCATATTCCATTAGCCTTGTAGGTTGATGTCCAGTGATCACATTCTACATCTCACCTTATAAGAAGGAAGTTCCAGTTGCCAAGACCAGGAATCAAGGTTTCATTCAACTTCTACATTTTTCTTTTACTGTTCAAAGTTCAGTCAAGTGCAAATAAACTACAAACTACAACACAGGCTACAAAGGGATAGGTGCATTAATACGCCACAAGGACGACAGAACTGCAAACAATGGCTGCCACTATAGAAAGACAATCCTCAGACTGACAGATAGATGTCCTTAGCAACTCTCAACTGTGTGGTTATTAAATCAGACACAAAAAGTTTTCCTCATCATCCTGTGGTCCAGCCTGTTGTCTCAGCTGAACTGAAAGACGTCAATGTTAAACAAAAGTTTTGAAGAGCACAACTACGCTACGACAGCCCATAAATCATTTGAGGTACTTCCCACATTTACTATATGTAAACATAATTTGATTATAATTGGTTAATAATTCATATTTGTAAAAATCAATTTTTAATAAAATATTGGCTGTAAATACAGCCCTACAGTTTTTTCCCTGTTTTTTAGGACCATATTACAGTAATCAGTAAAGAGTTTTTAATGATCTTTGTCTTAAAAACTTAAAAAGTCAATTAAGCTCAAATGTGTTTTGTGAACCTGGAACATGCAATTTAAGCTGTTCATATCTGAAACAAGTTACACAAGGTATATGTTCACACCTTTGTTTTAGTTGCTCTCACAGGATTTGTTTTTTTTCCCGTTGTTCTATGTTTTCTTTTCCCCAGTTTTACCTTGGTGTCTGCCTTACGTCCAGAAACCTGCTGGGTTTTCAGCCACCACAGAACCTTCTCTCTTGACTTCTGCAGCTGACTCGCGTCTGGCTGTGACACATCTCTCTTATCTATGGAACAGAGTGATATTAAATCCATCAACAAGAGGTTGGAACTTTTTCAATTGCTCAGTCCTTACACAACCTACCCACCTGCTAAGAGGTCGTAGCAAAACTCCATGGATGCCTCTCGTCTGCTCCACTCTCTCTCCAGCAGGTCTTCCATTATTTTCAAAGAGCCAGTGGCTGCGCTAGCTTCACTTCCAACGTCTAGACTCACATTACACCGGTCATCATCCTGGCTCTGCGACACCTTTGTTTCCTTTTCTTTTGAACCCGTAGACGTACACCCAGAGCCACTGACTGGTTAAAATACAGTAGTTAGTGTTTACAATGCTGTAAAACAAGGCTTTATAAAACAACAGGAAGTAGAATATTAACTCCACTTATACTATAGCCGTGCCAACGTAACATGACTCAACAGGATTTTGACCATGGACAAGTTACACTGTTTAAGTTACACTGCAGTTGGAATGATATTTTGAGGGCGTGCAGGTGCAAAAAGAATGATTTTAAATGATCCAACTGTGTTTCTATTCTTTACCAGCTGTGCCAACTGTGCTAACTAAACTTTTATAAGATGGACGAAATGTTCCAACATTTTTCCTACAGGCAGTATTTGTTACAGCGCTCTCTGTGAAAGAAAAACAACTACATTTCATGTACCTACAGTTTAATGGTGAGCGCTTGCTCCTGTCTTCTCTTCGGACGTTGTAGTATTCCCAGTTTCTGCGGTTCCACTCAATGTTAAGCTGCTGTGAGATTTCCTTGGCTCTGGTAATGTCTTTCCCAGTTATTTTCTCACTTATCTCAGTCTCAGGCTGTGGCTCACCGTAGTAAAACCAACTGTTTCCAGCAACCATCTCCTCCATCTTCTCCAGCAGCTCTGTCACCTGATCACCATCTTTGCTCCTGTTGTTGATGACGTGATACCTCTTTTCACACTTCTCAACAAGCCACTGGAGAGGCTTTCCTTCACTTTCAATGTGCCGCTCAATGGTCTTCGTCCCCAAACTGTCCCCAAACGTGAACAGCAACATCGTATGTCTCCACACTCTGGGGCCAAACTGCCTCATGTTGTCGTTGATGACTCTTTTTTGCTCCACTGTGAAGGACGTGTCTAGTGGCACAGCCAACAGAATGACATTGGGAGATGGCGAGCACAGTGACACGGCCTTTTTGATCCCAGACTTCACAGCAGCAGGTGTGTAGATTGCTGGGAAATATTTCCACCATCCAGGAGTGTCTGCGATTGTGATTGTTCTCCCAGCCACCGTGCCCATTTTCTTGATTACGTTCATTGTTCTCTCACCAAAATGAAACTTCTCATCTTTTAGGATACTGTTTC